TTGAAACCTTCAAATACTTTGAAGACCCCAAGATGCAGAGATCTTCCAGCTGTGATCTGTATCCCATGCTACAGAGGAAGGCGAAAAACCTCCAGGGCCGCTGCCAATCTACCCTGGAGGAAAATTACTTCCCGACCCCAAATATGGCGAGCAGCTAAACCCTGAGCATGTGGGCAAGACTCACCAGCCAGACACCCAGAAAGTTCTCTATAGTAACTCCTATCATCCCTCCATTGACCTATTTACCACTGATAATGAATGGTCAATTAGTTATCAAGATCATGTTATCTCATCAAACCATCCCCTTTCTGGCTAAACTAAGGGATTTCTTACACACGTGGTCCAAAGCCAGAGGAGTGAGGGAGAAAGCTGGGAATGAACCCTTTTCTCTTCACACACAGTTTAGATTTCACTCAGTAGTCTTTCTCAGAATAAGCAGGGGACTGGAAGCCAGACTGTGATCCCTGCTCTAATACTCATTTACTGTGTAATCTTAAACTTAAAAAAACAACAAATGGTCTGGTAGCACTTTAAAGACTAATAAAACATGTAGATGGCATCATGAGCTTTCATGGGCACAGTCCACTTCTTCAGATGACCAGAGAGTTGGATGTCCAGGACCAAAATAAATAAGGAAGAAAGGGACGGGGTGGAAGAAGGAAAAAATGGAGGGGGAGACTAGAAGAGGCAGTGGGTAAAAAATATCAAGGGGAAAGCCAAGCTGGAATGGAATAGGAAAAATAAAAAGTCGACCATTGGGGCCCTCGTCATGCAGGTATGGCGTTCTTGGGCTATTTTCCCAGGAGTGGGGTGAACTGCTAGGATGCGGAACCCTAGGGAAAGGAGGGGTTGGGGGTGGAAGGGATGGTGGGGGAAGCCCCCTTTCCTGGGTGGTTTTTCAGTCCCGCCCTCACACAGCCCTGCTAGGGGATGGGCTACAAAGGGGTTGCTCCTGATGTGTGTGGGGAAAGGCGGGGCTCGAGGACCTCCCAAGGGCTCTGGCACCTCAGTGATTCTCTGTTTGTTTCTTCTACAGGTCAACACTGTCCTGCTGCCCAGAGTCATCCACCTCAGCACCCACATCCCCATCCAGGCCCCTGACCCCTGGGCATTTGTCTATTATCAACCACAAGGGGTACTTCTCCATGGTCCTGCAGGCCTCATCAAACACCATGGGCA